GGGGGGGGGGGGGGCAACTGTCTAAAGGCTGAAAAGTATAGGCGCCAGCCTGTTATGGAGATAGATATTGAAAAATTGAATTGATTTGGTGCATTCTGACACATATTTGGGGGGAGTAAGGATAAAAATAATTTGGAACGCATGAATATTGTGAGGGTACACCACTGACCAAATTGTTTAATAAATAATTTTAGGTAATCTCATTTTGAAGGTTTATGAAATGGTTGAAAAAATTCACTCACAATTAAAAATAATTACTAACATGATTTACTAATAAGCCTGTATAATAGGACGTAACCTCTGAAGGCTGGGATAGAGGCAGAGGTTTAGGACGATGCTTCGATGCTTTGATTAAACATAGAATGTAATTAAAATGTAAATCTACATGTCTTTTGTTCAGTTTTCTTTTGTCAATCAAAATATCAAGTGACTGAGAAATTCGTAAAGAATTAAGTATTCACTTATTAGAAAATTTAGCCAATGCTGATTGGATGAGAAAGTGGGTTAGGTTCCAAGGTAAATATTTACCATATCAGTACATGATTCAATTCAAAAGAAGGCGATACTTACTTTGTCTCTTGTTAGACAGTTGAAATCTAGAGTTGAACTGATCGACCGACTGATTCGTGGCAAACTCTTTAATATTGGATTGAAATAAACTCGTTTTACTTTCATCAAAATTTTTAAAAAGTAAGAAAAATTCTCTGGTGAAATTTATCTGTAATAAAGACAGGAAAATAGTAATAAAGGGACAAGTGCGCTATTTTGGAGGGTTGATTTGAGTCGTGCAGATATGTGAATAGTCTTGTCGGTTTAAGCTGATAGATTTTCAATGTAGCTTTCTGTAACATTCTTTTAAAATCAAAATTTTACATTCGGTTTTCCGAATCTTCACAGTGTCAAGCTATTACGAACTTCTTAATATACCTTGACAGTGTATCACGGAATGCAGCGATTTGTTTGGATTGTGCACAAGTGTGACAGATCCATATAGTTTCTATTCTATTCTATTCTATTCTATTCTATTCTATTCTATTATATTCTATTCTATTCTATTCTATTCTATTCTATTCTATATTACCGGTTTATTGTTGGCATTGAGTGTACCAGATCTGCATATTAACAATGGCCCAATCAGTCCCTCATTCACATCGCCAGGGAAGTCATCAGCGGAGTAATACAACCTGACTACACAGTTTGGATCATCCGCTTGTACTATATTTTCTGGCACTTGGAACTTGTATGTGTGCGTGAAACTGGGATAAAGCACTCCCATTGTGTTGCCTGGAAGAACAATCAGAGATGTATATTAAAGATAAATTTCTAGGTTGACATCGTAGACAATTTGGCAACTCATAATGTAACATGACTACCGAACTTTGCTTGTTCACCTAATGGGCAGACACGGCATCGTAGTTTTAGAGGTCTGGTGGGCTATAAAATACAAAATATATGAGAACTAGATAGTATTTGAATTATTATCATTATTCGCTCTGCTGTTGCTGATTCTGCTGAGCTGTTCATGATGATTATGTTGCTGACGCTAATGATGCTGATACTGGTGCCGCTTCGGCTGCTGCTGATGATGATACTGATGATAATAATACTGATGATCATGATGATCATGATGCTGCTCATGATGCCGATGATGACGAGGATCTTAATGGGGATGTTGATGATGACGATGGTGGTGATGATGTTGCTGATACTGATGATGATAATGGGATGTTGATGATGACGATGGTGATAGCGATGATGATAATGGGATGGCGGTTACCATGTTGCTGATAGTGATGATGGTAATGGGGATGGTGGTGATGACGATGATGACAGTAATGATGATCATGGGATAGTGGTTACGATGTTGCTGATGATGACGATGGTGGTCATGATGTTTCTGAAAGTGATGATGGTAATGGGGATGGTGGTGATAACAATGATGACATTGATGATGATAATGGGATGGTGGTGACGATTGTCTGATAGAGATGATGATAATGGGGATGGTGGTGATGACGATGATGATAATGGGATGATGGTGACGATTGTCTGATAGTGATGATGATAATGGGGATGGTGGTGATGACGGTGATGACAGTTATGATGATAATGGGATGGTGGTGACGATTGTCTGATAGTGATGATGATAATGGGGATGGTGGTGATGACGATGATGATAATGGGATGGTGGTGACGATTGTCTGATAGTGATGATGATAATGGGAATGGTGGTGATGACGATGATGACAGTTATAATGATAATGGGATGGTGGTGACGATTGTCTGATAGTGATGATGATAATGGGGATGGTGGTGATGACGATGATGACAGTTATGATGATAATGGGATGGTAGTGACGATTGTCTGATAGTGATGATGATAATGGGGATGGTGGTGATGACGATGATGACAGTTATGATGATAATGGGATGGTGGTGACGATTGTCTGATAGTGATGATGATAATGGGATGGTGGTGACGATTGTCTGATAGTGATGATGATAATGGGAATGGTGGTGATGACGATGATGGCAGTTATGATGATAATGGGATGGTAGTGACGATTGTCTGATAGTGATGATGGTAATTGAGATGTTGATGACGATGATGATAGTGATAATGATAATGGGATGGTAGTGATGATGATGATGCTGATGATGCTGCTGGTACACTGTAACTGTTGATGATATTGATGCTGCTGATGATTCTGATGCTGTTGCCACAGCTGATGATAATGACACTGTATCTGATGCTGATGATGCTAGTGATGATGTTCCTTCTTATCCCGCTGCTGATGCTGCTGGTGATAATGGCACGGCAACTGTTACTGCTGCTGCTGGCAATACTGATGTTGCTGATGACGCTCATGCTGCCGGTGATGATGATGATGATGATGATGATGATGATGATGGTTATAAAATCATCGTAAAGGTACAACTTACCACCAGAATATCCAGAGTCACTTGGATTATAATATAAACTTTGTCCAACAAACGAATATTTTTTATTTCCTTTATTTCTTAACATAAGATTGACAGTTTCTCCCTCTTCAACTCGTAATGGCGGCCCTAGCAACCCAAGGTGCTGTTCGTTAGGTGTCCTGTTAGCTTTCTGGCCATAACTGTCATCTGTATACTGAATATATTCCATTTTCTTATAATTTCCACCTAAGCCATTGGCGGAGTCAAAAAATAGAGCCGATGGTGATCTGAAAGGAAAAAACTTTAATGATTTGGTACAGAAAGGTTAAATGATGACAGCTAAATTGTTGTGTGTCTTCATGTCTGCAAAAAATAGACGTTTGCTAACTCCGTTTACAGTTAGTTATATAGACTCAAATTGAATTTTTTAAGTACAAAAATCTTGTAATTGGCGTTCACATGTTGCTCAGTCTTCCTCGGACCAAAATTTCAAAATGTCTTTTAATCCACCATGCTGTCTGTTACGTCTGTCTGCATTCGACTTATCTTTGATCAAGTGTTACGATTTCCTATTGGTTTTGAGGAGTTATAATTTTTTTATATGTATTGGAAATTTGGAGACACTAATAGCATTTTTTGCAACATTCCAATTTTCAATCAAGCGTCTGTGCTTCTTGAAATTCCGCATAAACTAAGCCTTGTATGCAAAGCTACTAGCAGATTTTGAAATAGGAACGTCCTATATGTTTATGAATTTCAATATTTTTTGCAACCAAAGACAAATCGATGCAAAAACCCCGATACACATAAACTTTATCTCTTTTGTTGTTAAAAATTGTAGTGAACACTCGGCAATTAGGCATTCATGTACCCATTTTCGCAATGGACGAATTTCGTCGTATATCTTGCAAAGTAACCACTTTTCTTGTATTACGGAACGCAGCAAATTGATTGATTGTACTCTAGAGAATACATCCATTCAGAACCCTCGACAGAAAGACTGTAAGCGCTATGGCTTATCGTTTACAGACTTTAGGTCGAAGACTCTGATTCACTGTATTCACTATAGTACAATCCAATCAAATCACCATATTTATAAACTTCTGCGATACAAGAAAATGGACTATTGCTGTCAAGGTATATGACAACATTCGTAAAACCTTGACCATTGTGAAGATATCATGTACCAACACAGAAATCAAGCCCTTACCCAGGTTGAGCGAGCGTTGTCTTTATCATCTCATCAAACCCAGAGGGACCATAATTCCACGTTCGCTCCTCTATAGACAGATAATAGTTTCTTTCTTTGGTTGGTGTTGGTAAGGAAGCATTAGCTCTAAAACAGTTTTCCACGTTGAGAGATGCTGACATTCCCTCTGAAATAAACAAAACATTTGATGATATTCTGTATCTTCCATTTAAGGGGCATTTTGTAAAACGATCATCTCACTTTCCGATCCTACTTCCAAAAATCAAGACTGCCTTTCTGCCTGCTTTGATGAAATTTTAAGGTGACCTCATAAAATAGCGATTATTAATTGCGTATGTTTGCCAATAATGAAAGTACCGAATACATTTCTTAACATAGTAGCATGAGAGTTGCTTTTGAAACTTATGACCGCTATTCTAATTTGCATCCATACGCAACTGGTGATTGTTATGGTGTGAGGGCGATTACTTTGTCACAGGAAAGTTGGTCAACCGGAAATACGCGCACAAGGTATTATAGTCACAGTAATACGGGCACAAGGTATCATAGTCACAGTAATACGAACACACGGTATTATGGTCACAGTAATATAGGCACAAGGTATGATGGTCACAGTAATACGTGCACAAGGTATGATGGTCACAGTAATACGAACACAAGGTATTATAGTCACAGTAATATGAGCACATGGTATTATAGCCACAGTAATACAGGCACAAGGTATTATAGTCACAGTAATATGAGCACATGGTATTATAGCCACAGTAATACAGGCACAAGGTATTATAGTCACAGTAATATGGGCACAAGGTATTATGGTCACAGTGATACGGACACAAGGTATTTTGGTCACAGTAATACGGGCACAAGGTATTATGGTCTCAGTAATACGAGCACAAGGTATTTTAGTCTCAGTAATACGGGCACAAGGTATTATAGTCACAGTAATACGAACACAAGGTATTATAGTCACAGTAATACGGACACAAGGTATTATAGTCACAGTAATACGAACACAAGGTATTATGGTCACAGTAATACGGACACAAGGTATTATGGTCACAGTAATACGAACACAAGGTATTATGGTCACAGTAATACGGACACAAGGTATTATGGTCACAGTAATACGGACACAAGGTATTATAGTCACAGTAATACGGGCACAAGGTATTATAGTCACAGTAATACGAACACAGGGTATTATGGTGACAGTAATACGGGCACAAGGTATTATAGTCTCATTAATACGAACACAAGGTATTATAGTCACAGTAATACGGGCACAAGGTATTATAGTCACAGTAATACGAACACACGGTATTATGGTGACAGTAATACGGGCACAAGGTATTATAGTCACAGTAATACGGGCACAAGGTATTATGTTCACAGTAATACGGACACAAGGTATTATAGTCACAGTAATACGGGCACAAGGTATTATGGTCACAGTAATACGGGCACAAGGTATTAAAGTCACAGTAATACGGGCACAGGGTATTATGGTCACAGTAATACGGGCACAAGGTATTATAGTCACAGTAATACGGGCACAAGGTATTATGGTCACAGTAATACGGGCACAAGGTATTATGTTCACAGTAATACGGACACAAGGTATTATAGTCACAGTAATATAGGCAAAGGGAATAATGGTCACAGTAATATAGACACACGGTATATTGGTCAAAGTAATATAGGCACAAGGTATTATGGTCACAGTAATACGAGCACAAGGTATTATAGTCACAGTAATACGAGCACAAGGTATTATAGTCACAGTAATACGAGCACAAGGTATTATAGTCTCAGTAATATAGGCAAAGGGAATAATGGTCACAGTAATATAGGCACAAGGTATATTGGTCGTAGTAATATAGGCACAAGGTATTATGTTCACAGTAATACGAGCACAAAGTATTTTAGTCACAGTAATACGGGCACAAGGTACTATAGTCACAGTAAGTAATACGTGCACAAGGTATTATAGTCTCAGTAATATAGGCACAAGGTATTATGGTCACAGTAATACGAGCACAAGGTTTTATAGTCATAGTAATACGAGCACAAGGTTTTATAGTCATAGTAATATAGGCACAAGGTATTATGGTCACAGTAATACGAGCACAAGGTTTTATAGTCATAGTAATATAGGCACAAGGTATTATGGTCACAGTAATACGAGCACAAGGTTTTATAGTCATAGTAATATAGGCACAAGGTATTATGGTCATAGTAATATAGGCACAAGGTATTATGGTCACAGTAATACGAGCACAAGGTATTATGGTCACAGTAATATGTGCACAAGGTATTATAGTCACAGTGATACGGGCACAAGGTATTTTAATCACAGTAATATGGGCTTTCTTTTCGGCGTTTTCCTCTTCAAGGCTAGCTCAAGAGCCAACGAAGAAGGTCCGTCCGTCCGTTACAGAGTTAGGCGCGAAATGAATATTAAAGAAAGATATATTGAGCTTGTAGGAGGTAATCCCAATACGTTTGAGATCAATACTATTGATGAAAAAGTTTGAGCGTGTATAGGCCGCTTTAGATCTAATCAGTATGAATTTTTTTTAAATCAGATGAAAACTGTAGTCTCTCTTTTGACGCATTTTTTCAAGTTAAGAGCAATACATGTTTTCAAAAAAAAAATAACGTTTCGGTTACGACTGCAGTAATACTAAATTCGCAATTCTGAAGAAAAGAAAAATGATCTTAACCTACCTCCAAAATTGTCTTCGGCCATGGAATTAACCCCATATTTGCCAGGATTTCTGGGGATCATTAACCCTACTACAGCAGTACCGGGATAAACTGACGCTGTACTAGACCTGGAACATAAAAGTGTTTTTTCTTATTTTTTTTATGTTTATCGGGGACATTGATAGCATCAATTTGCACCATTCAAATTTTCAATCAGACGTCTGTGGTTCCTTATTTTTAAGCTGGATAAACTTTAACCTCTGAAACAATGAATAACGAATACGGAATAACATTTTTCTTTTTTCCTTTTCGCCAATACCATACTTCTTGTGAAGCTGGATTGTTATTCGTTATCGTTAGTGGCCAAAAACGTTATTCACGAATAACCAATAACGAACAAACTTCACTCGACTAGGTGTTTCTGATCGAAAATTGTTTATCCAAAGCTTGGGAGCCCTTATGGAAAAGACACGCTCTCCATACAACTTCTGCCTAGCATGACGTTCAACAAGAAGAAAACTATCGCAGGTTTCTCAGGGGCCGATAAAAGTGAACAGATTACTGAAATACGGCGGACCAAGATTATTGATACATTTGTATTATGTTAATACATGCAATATGATTTTATAATCAATTCTAGAAGATATAGGAAACCATTGGAGCTCACGAAGGATATATTGTGTAATATGGTCATATTGTGAGTTACAAGTTTAAAGTCGTGAAGCTGAGTCTCTGTAATTTGTGGATAAGGTTATTGGGAATACCAGACAGTAAGGAATACGGATCATCTAACGGTAACACAACAATAATATGTATAAGTGTTTTTGTGGCCTCCACTGTATTTCTAATTCTACAAATATTACTATACTACATCTAAGGATCACACAAAAATTGAAATTTATGACCAAAATGGGTCTTTGTCCATCAGTAGACCTATCTAGTGTCAAAACTATACTGTGCCAGGGCCTTTTATTGAATAGTAACTTGTTACTTCCAATCACCCTAATCTCTAAAAATCCAATAAATCCAAAAAAATAGTCATAATCCGTTAAACTAAGTAATAATCCATAAGAAGCGTTTTTCAATAGTTATTTAGTTTAATGGATTCTATTTTTTAGTCATGGCACCAGGTAAGTCCACTAAAACATTTTATGCAAATGATTGTATGCGAATGTTGTCCGAGCTAATTTTAGCAACTATGATGTCTGAAATTGCACCTTCTTTCAGATTTTGTGAGCTGATGAGAGATTTGCAGCCGGAATGATAATTCTAAAAATAGTTGTTTTGTGTGCACTGACAGTCAAGCGGATGTTGATAAAATGCAATCGTCTACTTTCATTTTGATTAGCTCAAGATTTTCATGGTCATGATATATCGAAGTTTTGTCCAGAAACTAAGTATTGGCCAGGCTTTCATGTGACAGATTGGAAAATTTTCAACGAGATTTCTGGAAAAAGTTATAAAAGATTGAATTTCGTGATTTAACATGGAAACAGATGGAAGCTTAAAGTACGAGTATGAGCAGTCAATCACGCAGCAAATTCGACATTTTGATCAAACCTCAAAATGGTTTGTTTACATTTATGCGGAAGTGACCTAGCGCATGCGCGTTTAAAAGGGTAATAAGGGCTAATAGTGGTCCAAGTCCATATCAAACGGATATCGCCAAATTGACAAAACAGTTCCGGTTGTTTCCGTTCAAATGATGAAATGTCTATTTTTAGTAAATAAAATATGCCAGACCGACAATAACAAAGTAGGTCATTCAGTTTGTGGATCTATATTTATTAAATGGTTACTGAATAATTTATATTTTACATGTATCATAATAAAACTTCTAAAAAAAGAAAACTATTTCGTATTGCGAATATTTTATTTAGACGGTGATTTGACCACGCGCAAATCAATACGGTATTCTAGGCAATCAAAATCAATGTTCAGACAGAGTTATCTACTCTTGCCAGGTTACCTGGCTATATGTCAAACTTTAATGGCCGAGTCAATGTTCAACTCACGGAAATTAACGAACATTGGCCGAGGTTGAGTCAGATGCATTGTTTTGTTTGCTATCAATTTCCAGTCTGTTAAATTTTTCTTCCAACTCTCTCATCTTCTTTTTCATTTCTTTATTTTCATCTTGTAAACCTTTAGATAATGCCTTTTTTTCCTCTACCTCACTCCTGAGATCTTTTACCTCCGACTTCAATGTTGCAAGTTCTAATTTTATTTCCTCGGACTCTTCAATTTTGGAATCAAATTCTGTTTTAACCGTTTCCTCTGACGGACCTGGTTCTAAAACATTGGGCCGTTCGTCAGTATCCCCATGTATCCTCTGAAACAGACGTTTGATGTACGGAAAGTGATCTCCTGCAAATTCTCCAAATCGTTTTCCTTGTGCTTCTACGGTTCCTGTTGTAACAAAGAAAGAGATCCGATATTGCTTTCCTAATTTATTGTGCGTGACGATTATGTCTATAGATTTCAATCTCGTCTGTCGTGTCCAGTCTCTAGGGGCATTCACCCATTCGATGTTATTATTCTGAACTCCTCCCAAATACTTATAAAATACCCATAAAGCCTTCAGCCAGCACACCATTCTATGTCGATCTGGGTTAGGCCCGATACGGAACGCTACTATAGGATTAGGGTGATATAATCTTAAATCGATTTCCTCAAACATGGCATATTGTGCTTTTCCTGTGGACACTTTCATGGGAACTGGGAAAATACCCGAACCATATGTGTCTTCAATGTGTTGAAATGCACCGTCCGCTGTTACCAGGTCATATAAAGTTTTAGTAGAAATTACAAAATTTTGAGCCTTCGCCATACTATATTTAACTTACTTCCTCGATTTCACTCGAATACTAAAAATAGTTATCTTTGTTTCACACAATCATGACGAGGCATCGATCAATGATTATACAAACTGTATCCAATGTTCTTGGTTTTACAACACTCCTTTATTGATGGAATAGCCCATGGTTTTCTCCAAACAATACATTTATTTTATAAACGTAACATATATTCTATTTCATACCTCAGTCTTTACTACACTTAAAATTTGAACTCAATCGGCACGGCCTCCACAACACGCTATCTGTAATCGTGTCAAATGCATTTATGTCACACCGACCCTAGAGTTATAAATAGTTATTATAATATGCATATTGACTCACTGTAATTAATTGAATGAAGTCCGTGCTATTTTAAAAAAAAATCCTCTTTCTCCCCCCTTTTGGGGGTGTTGCATGCCTATTTTTGACTAAGGTTTGGTTTAGATTTGGAATTTGATGTCTGAAATTGCATTTTCTTTCAGATTTTGTGAGATGATGAGAGATTTTCATGTGGAAGGATAATTCTAGTCGTTTTGTGTGCATTGGCAGCCAAGCCGATGTTGGTAAAATGTAGTGGTCTACTTTCAGTTTTGCTAGTTCGCGATTTCCATGGTCATGATATATTGAATTTTTGTCCAGAAACTAAGCATTGGCCAGGCTTTCGTGTGACACGTTGGAAAGTTTTCAACGCGATTTTTGGAAAACGCTATAGAAAGTTGAATTTTGATATTTAACATGGAAACAGATGGCAAATGAACTACCGTAGGGTGTCTATCTATGGAACGGACACCGCTAAAACATTTCATGTATTTTTGAAATTCTCCTTATCTCTCTCCGCCCCCTTTTAGGGTTTTTGCATACGACTGTTTGCTTACGTCCATTTTTTTGTCTAGAATTCGAAAATTAGCAGACGGCGGGAAATAGAATTGTCTTGTTATAAACTTAGCTTCATATACTTCAATTTAATAATGATCAACTAATATTTTACATGGCTCGGGGCAGTTGGAATATGTTTCTTCCCCTCTCTTAAATAGATTGTTAAAAGGTTTTCTAAATTTGTCATTTGTATCAGGGACACTGATAACATCAATTTGCACCATTTCAATCAGACGTCTGTAGTTCCAATTCCGAAGCATAGTACCGATGTCTTTAACAGATGATTAACAGGAATTAAATTGACATAGAGTGGTTGCAGGATGCATGAGGGGTTTGGGCGGTGGAATTAGATTTAGTTTTAGTAAAAATGACCACTTCCCCTTGGGACGCTATGGCATGGTCAAAGTTTATCTGCCACACCGCCAAATGATCAGTTATTTGATCACACTAGGGCGAACCTCTGTGGTCGAGCTAGAGTTGATGGAGAAATGACGTAATTATCTTCCGTGCGCATGCCGAGTGAGGATCGAGTTAAGACAATATGGCGGGACTTTTGACCATATTCAACCATGTTAACACGTGTTTGACTCTCCAAATAGTGATCCGAGCTTCTAACTAGGTCAAATATTACGTCACACGAATCTCAACACTAGAAAATATTACACTTACAGTTCGGTTGTGACTCGAATGACTCGAATCTAACCCGGGTCTCCAATCGATGTCACAGTATGCTCGATTAACCAGTCAATTCGATCTTTGTAAATTACTCGTATATAAAAAATGAAAGAATTAACTATGTGACTCAATAATTGTGACCATGTTTCAATTGACCTACAGATTCACCCCGTAGACAATAAAAGATACAAAAAAAAATACAAACCTCGTGTGATGTATATCCATGATTTGCCCTTCTATAAACATGGTATTGCTATCCTTCTCGTTACCCACAGTTAAAAAATACCAAGCTACCTTATCACCAGCACAGGCCTTCAGACCATTCAGATTAGAAAACCCTATGCCATTGATGGATCTCATGATATTACTCTTAACGAAATCAACCTCTCCCGTCGCTCGCAATGTTTCACAAACTGTGGTCGTTCCACATCGACTTAAATCACTATCTATAAACCAACTCTGATTCTCATCGAAAGCCTTGTTAAAAACAACAAGTTCAGTATTAACATCGTTTCTAGTGTGATCGTAGTTCAGCGTTCCTGAAAAAGAGCCGAGAAAGAATGCTATGTAGTTTCACGTCTTGCATTGACAAAAACTAACGATGCGCAGTGACTATTGATAAAAGAAAAGAAAAGAAAAGAAAGAAGTGCTGCAATGTGGCGTATTTAGGCAGTACTACTTATGACACCCCCCACCCCTCCCCCCATTCACCCAAATAAGAAGATTTGCGGGAAAGAGGGCTCTCTAAACCCCCACGAAAACTAGTTGTACAATTATCAGGTTTTAGCGAAATTTCTTGTTCTTACTACGCATTTGCTTTATTAGGATTGTTGAATTCCATTTAGGATTTGTAAAATGCTATGATTGAAACTTACCGGTTTTGCAGGTAAGAAGGACTCCGACCAGCCCAGTGTTGGTATCACGTGGAAAGTTGACATGTGATCGATATACCCACGGAATACAGGATGGATCCGACAGGGATGGTCCATTCTCATTTCGTATTGTCCATATATAGGTCTGGGTAGTTCCTGGGCGCACAAAGTCGTCATATTTATCTGATCCGGAAGTACCATCCACATATAAAGCTCCTACAAGTTTACGACAAATATAAATATTATCTACAGGTAGCTATTACTGAGAATAGTTGTCCATCACCATATCAGAGTACCAAACAGTATCAGTTTCTCACTACACAGACAAATCAGGCAAAACTATCGAAATCTATTCTAATTTGATTACATTTGGCACAACAAATAATTGAACATGGCGGTCATATCTATCTATCACGTATATACAACACATTCGGTAAATCGAGTTAAAAAAAATTGCAACTATTAAGACTGTTCGGAACAGTATCTAAGGCTAGGTAAGTAAGTTTTCATCTTCACAATGTCAAGCTATTATGAATTCGTACTTAAAACTTGGTCACTATTCTTGTATCACGGAATGCAGAGATTCGATTGGATTGTATAAATTTGAATACAGCCAATCAGAGTCCTCAACAGAAAGGCTGAAACATTATGGCTTTGTGTTTACATACTGTCTGTCGAAACCTCTGATTGCCTGTTAATCCAATCAAATTGCTTCAACAATAGTGACTATTGCAGTCATGGTATAAGAACGAAGTTCGTAACAGCATAACTCTGTAAAAGTAAGTTTCAGACTAGTAAAATAACCATCAGAGACTAGGTAAAAGTCAATAAGTTTCAGACTAGTATAATGACTATCAGAGACTAGGTAAGAGTCAGTAGGTTTCAGACTAGTATAATAACTATCAGAGACTAGGTAAGAGTCAGTAAGTTTCAGACTTGTATAATAACTATCAGAGACAAGGTAAGAGTCAGTAGGTTTAAGACTTGTATAATATCTATCAGAGACTAGGTAAGAGTCAGTAGGTTTCAGACTAGTATAATAACTATCAGAGGCTAGGTAAAAGTCAATAAGTTTCAGACTAGTATAATAACTATCAGAGACTAGGTAAGAGTCAGTAAGTTTCAGACTAGTATAATGACTATCACAGACTAGGTAAGAGTCAGTAAGTTTCAGACTAGTATAATAACTATCAGAGACAAGGTAAGAGTCAGTAGGTTTCAGACTTGTATAATATCTATCAGAGACTAGGTAAGAGTCAGTAAGTTTCAGACTAGTTTAATATCTATCAGAGACTATGTAAGAGTCAGTGGGCTTCAGACTAGTATAATATCTATCAGCGGCTAGGTAAAAGTCAATAAGTTTCAGACTAGTATAATAACTATCAGAGACTAGGTAAGAGTCAGTAAGTTTCAGACTAGTATAATGACTATCACAGACTAGGTAAGAGTCAGTAAGTTTCAGACTAGTATAATAACTATCAGAGACAAGGTAAGAGTCAGTAGGTTTCAGACTTGTATAATATCTATCAGAGACTAGGTAAGAGTCAGTAAGTTTCAGACTAGTTTAATATCTATCAGAGACTATGTAAGAGTCAGTGGGCTTCAGACTAGTATAATATCTATCAGCGGCTAGGTAAGAGAGAAAGTTTCAGACTAGTATAATATCTATCAGAGGCTAGGTAAGAGTCAGCAAGTTTTAGACTAGTATAATAGATATCAGAGGCTAGGTAGGAGTCAGTAAGTTTCAGACAAGTATAATATCTATCAGAGGCTAGGTAAAAGTCAGTAAGTTTCAGACTAGTATAATGACTATCAGAGACTAGGTAAATATCAGTAAGTTTCAGACTAGTATAATATCTATCAGGGGCTAGGTATTAGTCAGTAGGTTTCAGACTTGTATAATATCTATCAGAGACTAGGTAAGAATCAGTAAGTTTCAGGCTAGTATAATAACTATCAGAGACTAGATAAGAGTCAGTAGGTTTCAGACTAGTATAATATCTATCAGAGACTAGGTAAGAGTCAGTACGTTTCAGACTGGTATAATAACTATCAGAGACTAGGTAAGAGTCAGTAAGTTTTAGACTAGTATAATAACTATCAGATGCTAGGTTAGAGTCAGCTAGTTTCAGACTAGTATAATATCTATCAGAGACTAGGTAAGAGTCAGTACGTTTCAGACTAGTATAATATCTATCAGAGACTAGGTAAGAGTCAGTAAGTTTCAGACTAGTATAATAACTATCAGAGGCAAGGTAAGTGTCAGACTAGTATAATATTCGTTACAAAGATTGGGCAAGAGTCATCCATTGATAAGATGGCGACGTCATAAGAAAAAAAAATTGTGCGGAATCACTGAACTTAAAACTGAACTTTCTCAGAAATGTGTGAAGGTAAAATTCATCTGAAAGTATCATTAAATAGCCTATACTATGTCAATTTTAATGATGTAAATGATGATTTTACTCAGTAACACAACGTTACGTTTGTTTGTTTGCGTTTTGAGCCTCGTTATGGATTCAATATGGACGACGCGGGAATAAGGTCTATTGCATCCAGAAGTTAGAAGCTTTTCTGCTACACTAACATTTACAAAGACTGAAAATTCCTTTTGTAAATTCTTACCTTCGGAATCTTTTAAATACGACACACCCTGAGCATGAAATGAATAGGATCGGCTACCCTTATTTTTGAATACTATTTTTAACGTATCGCCCACCTCAGCTCTAATAATCGGCCCGGTTATCGCCATGTGAGCCGGTTGAGGCCATTCTTTAATAAACGTTTCATCAGTGTAATGTCTAAACATGGCCTTTTTGTACGTTCCTCCTACGGTATTCGGGTGGTTCTTCACATAAAAGTCGGTTAATCTACAATACAAAATATGAAACAGGTAAATGTGGTTTTACAATATATGTCATGACTGTACATGCAATTCTTTCACTAAGTAAAATGATAAAAATTTAAAGAATGGGGCCGTAGCCATACCAGTTTTGCCAAGAGAAGCGAATAATTAACAGATTCAATTTGTCGTTACTTGACGTCTACGCCTTTTATAATGAACATGAAATTCAGATTTTCAAACTCTATATTCATCTGTGGACATACCCAGTGCTATAACTATACAACAGACTCTCTCTATAATCCGATCAATCTATAAACACAATAATTAATGGAATGCGCGTATAAGTTGTATATCTATATTACAATGGAAGTCCACTGATGAATATAATAATTAATATACTGTCCAAATTTGACAAGTTAAATTGTATGTGCATTCTGAAGGTCCTCATACACCAGATACGACACAATACGGCACGACGCAACAAACAGTATAAGTGCATAGACTATATATACTGATTACGGTACGACATGGTACGACACGACACGGCACGACGTTCTCCGATATTTCTATTTTCTGTCGTCCATGTGGTTTTCAGTAACAAATGGCGAAGCTGTCTTTAAAAAAAAAAGAAGATTATCAATTTTAACAATTCGCTAAAGGTGCCTTAAAACCAGATCCGACACGTAACAGTATAACGTCGGAGAAGTTGTGTCGTGTCGTCTGAACCGTATCCGGCATGTATAGTCTATGCAATTTATCATTTCATTTCTTGTTTTTTTGGTGTGTCATATAGTGTCAAATAGAGACTTCAAATCCATGTGTGTCCAGAATTATCTGCGTTTGAAAGTTGAAAAGACGAGTCGTCTATTCTTGAGACACTGCCATACATTTCTAGTACTTCTGAAGACTATTTACATTTATTCAAAACTCAAATCTATCTCCCAAAATGGCGCATCTGTCCCTTTAATACTTACGATTGTCGATTAGAGTTTTGATGGTTGGCTCCAGAAGGAGCATAATTCCAGTCTTGCTCGATCACTCCCATATAGTACACTCTTTCCACACAGTTTCCATATCTCACTTTCAATAACAGAAGTACTACTGATAATATTATGGGGATATTCCACGCTCTTTTATATATATACATATCCTCTTCTTAACCTTGGCAGATCACTATCCAAACCGTCCGCTTCTTCAATCACCTTCCACAAATTTTTCGATTTAAACTTCAAACTTATATCTTTTTTTTTTTTTTTTCCTACACTTTTTATTTTGTTATTTATTTTCGTTGTTCTATTTCCGACTCGTTTCTTCGATTCATTACAATAAATTTGTCACCAGAACCCGATGTTGGCAGTTCACAATTCTACGTCTATTGCTTAATAGATTGAATATTTCATAAACAAAAAAAAAAACAGAACACAAAATGATTGACAGGTGTCTAAAGGAAGGTGATTGATGGCAAAATCGTGTGATCCACTCTCATATTGTCTTTTGAATAATACATCGTAATTTTTCATAAATAATTAATACAGATAGGTCTTGCAAAAAACAATATAACCTGAATACTTGAGTCTCAATTTTTAATCAAAATCAAAGTTGAACATTACTGACAACCATGAATGACAAAAAATTAGCCAGATATTTTAGTGTACCAGTGTGCGCTAGTCCACGACAGCCCTACGACATAATCGGAAATGATCGATAGATATCCGACATGTTTGATCGAAAAACGTCCTAACATGCCTTGTCGGCATGTATGCGTGTGTTCCTGATAATTTTTCTAAAGAAAGAAGTGAGAGCCGTCAACTTGGAATAAATCGTTCCATTTTCAAACTGGATGAAAAGGCGCAAAATCCAATGGCGTACGTCCATTGGCTGTGGGGTAGGCTGGTTTGCCCTAAATTTTCTCACGACTTTTACATGTATTTGTGTACCTACTTCTTTCAGAACAAGCATTTCTTGGGCTTCATATAAACACTGTCAGGGTGTCAAGGATTTGTCGTTCTTTCTGACTGACCGTCTTTACGTTGCTTTGTTTAAGTAACGTCCCTGTTAGCTAACTTACCTTGCTTAGTTATATTATAGTAAATTATTTCAAATCTGATAAAAGAGTATACAGATGTTGCGTTTTGTGTTTTTCTTTGGGTTTGTACACCTAGCCTAACATTCATAATCTGTTCAAGTGCAATTTTATCTGATATTTCCGATGGTCATATTCCAGATATGTTTGAAATTATAGCGATCACAAAATTAGTACGGACAATCGAAAAGATTCGTGAATCAAATAAATGTTCCCGATGGAGAAAAAAGAACCCTTTGAGTCCTGAAACATGTTTAATAATCGATATAATTTACTTAAATATTTTCTATAACAACAAACATAGTATTCTAGATTATAGTACAGCAAGGGCATAGCAATAAACGTGTTCACTTCCAGATCTTATCCAGATGGAATATCTAATTGATCAACAAAGAGTTCGTTTGCTATGACTAATATGTAGTTATTTCCCTTACATAAGTCTCGAGAACAATTTCCATATAGAAAACCTCATCTCGCTCGCTTCAGGCAAGGCCAGTGCTTCTCAACAAACAGGGGAGAATTCCTGCAAAAATGCAAACACAATATATCCAAGCATAATTCTTTCAGTAATAATATTTTTAATATAAACAAACCAATAAATATGCGATTATGACATAGTAGAAAGCTTCCATTGTTTGCCTTAATTGAAATGTGAGAGATTGTAAAGAGCATGTTTATTTGGGACACTGATTGCATCAATATACACCATTCCGATTTCCAGTCAGACATCTGTGGTTCTTACATAACTAAGAGAGTTATCACAAGGTTCTTTTATTATATCATTAGCAACGTTTGCGATAGTGACGTAATAAAACGTTATAGTTTTATTAGAACCTCAGTAAGTTGTCTGATTGAAAAATGTAATGGTGCCAATCGATGCCAATGCTCTTGGTGTCCCCAATACACATTAAAAGTTAATAAAACTTCTTTACAATCAGTTGAATCAATCCCAATTGGCTTCCATTAAATATATTATAATTTCAATCTCCTTTAAATAGTATATTCTAGAAGAGTATTATAGTTGTGTCCTCCAAATTTACAATTCAGTTTCACTTTAGCCCCTGGGGGATAATTCTTACTGAGATCAACCAAGCCCTCCCAGGTACCTGGTGACGTCTGCTCCAATGGATTCCAGTCATTGTTGACCTTGACCTGAACATCAGAAGAGTTCGGTACAGAAACGTTAAATTTCACTTCTGGATCACGATTGCCTTTGGGTATTTTTAACGGTTCAGTGAGGTAGCCGCCATCTTTAAATTGTGGATATTGTTTTGGAAATGGAATATCGTTTTCTGGATTCGGACAATGAACGATGTAATTAAATACGCCTTGCATGCTTGGCCCCGCTTCACCTTTCGGCAAAGCGTAAATCTGGAATTTATAAAAGCCTGGATGTGGTGGAGCCAGCAAGAACAGGAAGTTGTCTCCTTGACGACGAATCAGATGATATTCGTTACATTCTTTCTTTAAAGCTGTTGATAACATCTTCGTGGTCACTCTTGTTCCGGGTAGTGTTTTCATGATAATTTCAGTGGTCGGACCCGCCATGTCAATTATAGGGTCGGGATGAGCCAACATTTCTAATCCATACGCTTCAAATTTACTCTGGGGTCCCAGATAGCCTTCAGTGACCTTAAATGGTATTTGTAATCCCGCCATTTTGAGACTTCTCGTCTGGTTCAATTTCCCGGCCTGAAAATATAACATTGATTATGAATATTATTATAAAAGAATAATGAAAAGCTGAACTGTTCAATCTATTCATATGGTTTTGGTTATTTGCCTAATTAGCCTATCAATTAAAGGTATTATAAGGAGATTTTCTAAACTTTTTATGTGTATCGGAGACACTGAAAATATCAAAATTTCAGTTAGATATCTGTGGTTCTTGCATTTTCTTTAAACTTAGCTTTCGCTGTCTTATTATATTGATAATTACTTTGTATTTTGTTTCTGAGGACAGAAATAGCCTATGTGGATTTTACAAAATATTTTTGTCAATTTTGGACCGCAATCAGAATAGTAGACCTACATGAGAAATTACATTATTTAACTATCTAAGACGTTAATACTCAATCATAATTGATCTTAATGTTGAACTCTACTCTTCTTTTTTTGTTTCGTCTGTTTGTTTTTTTGACACAAAGCTTTGAAAATGTGCAAATTATTATTTTGAATCTGACCCGGATAAGCATAAATAAAAATCGATACAAGCAAGACAATTTCGTTAATCAAAATCTCATCCAAAGAATGGCAAAATGGGGAGAAAAGGTAGTATAGTAGTAGACTCCTCCAAAGAGAAGTATCATCAGGTGTTAAGAAAAGAGTAAGCATGGTCTGCTTCGCGCGACTACTATATCTTGAGATACAATTAGATCAACTTATGACTGAACTTATAATCCTCTGGTGTCAACCCAATGTTCTCGCGGGATAATTTGTCTCATAAAATCCCTTTGAAATAAAAATCCCGGAGATTTCAGATATAACCTATATATATCAGCGAGATTTTATATATATATATCCTGGAGAATTTATATTTAATATCCCGGATATAAAACCCTTTTATAGGAAAATCCCTGGGGATGCGGGATTTTAGATCTCATAAACACCCTCTGTCGTATTTTATCCCATACAAAACAAATATCTTTGCTCGACTTTACTTATTGGGTGTGTATGAGTATTTACAAGTAGCTGTACAGGTAGTATATAGCCCAGGTAACTGTATATAAACGATACTAGGTAACCTTGACATCACTAGCTGTACATGTTATCAGTACTACACGATATGACGTCTTGTTTGATATATACCACTTACCTCTGCTTGCGGTTTCTCAACCTTTTTATCTTTAAAGAATACTACATCTTATAATGAACACGAAATTTACAGAGTCAAACTTTAAAGTATTTACTTGGCCAAAATGAGTCTTTGGACTTAACTGGTGTAATAGTTATACAACAGAATCCCTGTATCTAACGATAAATCACATAGACTAAGTAAGTCAGAAGGACGATTGTAATCATGTTTTTTTCAAAAACAATCTTCAGTTTTAAGAATCATTACTTAGATTATGGATTTATTGGATTATAGAGGGATTCTGTCATATAGTTATGACACCAGGTTAGTCCACTGATGAATAAAGACTCAAACTGGCTAATTTCATTATTAAAATTGTTTGGTCATCCTAAGAGGTAGAACTCATTTGATATCGTTAAAATAATGTTTTTTCTTTAAAGATGGGTTTCCTTATATATTTTTTAGTGTTAAATTAAGCAAACAATTTGATTAATTGGTGTTTCTAATGAATAATCATGTATTCTTAATCATATCAATATGTTCTTATTGCATATAATTTTAAACTTATCCATGTATGAACAGTCTGGAAAAACAGAAAGAGACTGGCAATTCTCTTCTAATTATGAATTGTTGACATGTGAGACAAACTGGAATTTTCCAAGTCATTAGAACACCTCTACTTTCTATTCGTATAGGTATCAGCATTTTTATTTTCATAAATGAAAATAAGGGAACCCATCTTTAAAGAAGTCGATTTACTTGGTTAGTATCTTTTATATAATAGTCTAAAATAAGAGTTAAGACTGAACATTATTATGAAAATCAGACTGTTCTTTAAAAAGGTTATGAACAAATGCAGTTTATAACAAGTATTACTCCCTCTATATACCTTGATGTAAAACTTATTACAATGTTTAATTATATATACTGTGTACCATAAAAAAATTGTCTTTTTAAAAAAAGACGCATACCACCTCTTTAAAGGGATTATAAAGAGGTTTTCTAAATTTTTATGTGTATTCGGGACACTTTTATTATCAATTTGCACCATTCCAATTTCAATCAGACGTCCGTGGTTCCTCATATTCCTTCAGCAACGGTACGGTGATAATGATCATCTAGCCGTTGCTTTCACAATTCCATATTCTCGTCATTAATTTTGATTGGTAGATTTTGATGAACATTAAGGACACGTGTAAGTACGTTTCTGTCAAGTGTCTTGGTGCAAATCTTCAACGGTTTCAAGCAACGGTTAGATGTGAATAATCATCGTACCTTTGCTAAAGGAACATGGTGGTTCCTGCAATTCCACTAGAACTAAGTGTTTGGTGACGTCACTCATCGCAAAATATGCTTTATCACAATAGTCCATTCGCAAGTAGTGACGTCATGAAACACTCAGATTTGGTGGAATTGCAGGAACCACAAAATTTAGAAAAACTCTTCACAATCCTTTGAATGTTAATCGATGAAGTAATGCTTGTTTTATGAACTACATTTAGAAATAACTCGTTCATAAACAATCTGTTTTCCTTTAAACCACCTTGCAAAAAATTCCTGTTTTAGATGGAAAGATAATGATTCATGGCATACTTTTATTATTTACTATACTAATCTGATCTT